CTTAAAAACCTCAAATGTTCATTTCAGTCGTTCAAATATGCTATAAATTCAAATTAGACGAAGATAGAAAAAATTTAGTTTACAATGATTTAGAGACCTTTTAATACAAAGACGCTTAGATTAGTTACCAGCCAATTTAAAGGTCCACACAAAAGGATACAGTATAGAAATTGTTATTTATATGTCCGTTATTTTTCATCCCAACACAGGCAGTATGTTAAATGCATGCAAGTCGGCGAATATATTTGTAATCGCTCTGGCTCCTGGTGAAAGTCAATAACTTTTTTGATTCTGTAAAATGCGCTATTCAGAATTTTAATTAAATTTTTAAAGTTTTTTTTTTATTTTTTAACTGATAGTATACATTTAAAACAGAAGCAGTCTTTATGTTTTGCTTGGTTATACTATGAGATTAATATAAAATGGTTTGGTAAAACATTTACATTTCTTTTATTTTGGTGTTATTATTAGCTGAAAGTACTGTATATGTAATCGCATCTTCCACATCAGTGCTGTGGACTGGTTTCTTTATCTAGTGTATAATTGCACTATTAAGCAAGCATTTTTTTTGTACCTTGTTTTGATTGTCAGCGGAGAGTGGAAAAAAAATGACAATAACATTTTGTTTTCTTATTTAGCAAATGGTGTTTGCAAAAAACATCCACAGGAGAAAATAAATTATATTTTTTTTCTGCCCTCCACACGATCTATAAAAAATAAGTTCACTAAAGCAAGCTATAAAAAGTCATGTCTAAGATATGCTACTATTCTTTATGTCGGGGCACTGCGCAAGACAAACAAGCTTTTGAACACATTTCTATTAAAGCATTTGAAATCTACTCATGCATGATTTTCTTTGATATTAAACATTTGTTCCTGTTGTCTTACTGAACTCTGATCTTCCAAGTCATCTGGTGTTCAGTTTAAATATTGAATTAGTGCCCTGATTCCTAAGTATTTTTAAATGGGGCCCACTGAAATACCAGGTTTAAAACCAATACAGTAAAGTAGTATCTTTTTACATGTGGACACATTTGGATAGGAATGGTAATCACATGGAGAGCTAACTATTAAGTGATACCCAGACAGTTGGTATGTCATGTTCCACAAGATACTGGCCCCAAACATTGAGATTTTTCGAGAAAAGCTAGTTTTTAAGGCCCCTGCATGTCTACGGCCTGTTTAGGTAGGCACGAGGGTCTTCGATCCGTAACTGCGACTTTGAAACGCTACGATTTCTAGGCTAGCTTTAGGTTTACGAAGGATCACAAATTCAAAAGCATGCAAATCACATAGAATGCTAGAATAGATAAATAAACACTATTTTGAACAATCGTAGTGCCTTTCCTTGCTAGTTATTTCTCACGTTAATGGTAGGCGAATATTTTTGAAACTCTAACATTACCCTTTCCTATACTTTAACACTGATTGCACTGTAAATTCTCCATAGTAATAACCACATCACGTGACCGGCTGTTAACAAACCTTGCGGCATGTATCAATTGTTGGTTCTTTGTTAGCAAACCAACCAATAATAAGTACCAGTAGTTTCAGAATTAAACATGCATTTATATTCATGATTTTGAGGCAGTAGGAGGGTTTCAGATTGAATGGTATGTCATGTTATTATTTAATACAGGTCTCCCTACAATTAAAGACCACTTTTGGGACCGGGGTTTCTATGATGATCAGCTTTGGTCTCTAATTAGAATAATAAAGGTAATAGACATTTGTTAATTTGGGACCACAGAAAAGTCTTTAACTGGGGAGGGTCCTTAACTAGAAGGAGACCTGTATTATATTTCTCATAAAATTGCTCTTATTTATTTATCATTGGATTGTTATTTTATCAAGTCTGTTGTATTGTATTGCATATATATAGCATCGTACTACCTGGGTGACTAAAAGTTTGCATTCTTTTGTACATTTTTTTAGTTTTGTTTTTTTAAATTTTTTTATATTAAATTATCTTATCATTTAGTAAACTTATTTATTTTGATTACTGTTATTATGTAAAGTTTGCCCTGCAATTTCAAACAACCTGTGGGACCTGAAAATGTGGGGTGGTCTTACTGGTTAAGTAAGAATGATGGCAAAATCTTATGAGAAAACAACTTTTAACAACTTTGTAGGGCATTTGCCAAAAAAATAAAGATCAATTAACTCACTTTTTTTAAATAGAAAAATGCTAAAAAAATGTTTTTTGTTTTTCCACCCCTAATTTTTCAGTGAGTTAGGGGCGGGTGAGGAGCGTAAACAAACAATTGTTTTAGGCCTAGTTGAATGCAGAAATCATTGTCAAAATGCACTTTGATCAGGGAAAATAATTTTATATCATTTGTTCAAATTGTGGAATTTACCTTCCATTACTGATATTTTCAGCATTTACTTCCCTCACTTCACAATGATTCAAAAATATGAATATGTAAAATGTGCTTCTAGAGTAGTACAAGTAATTGTCATGAATTAGTTCATTTGGATTTAGGGCTTTTGTTCTGGGAAAAAACAATTTCCTCAATTCAGTGAGTACTATAAATATGGATTTCAAATTGCTTCTCCATTCTCTTGTAGATTCATAGACACACCTGATCAAAACCATGCTGTCATTTTTAAGTGGTCAGAGCGTGGCAGAGGAGCAGCTCATCTTCTGGATGGCAGTAGTTATGGCATTTCTGGCCATCTTTGCTGTCTTTTTACTCCAGTTTAAGAAGGCAACATATGGTCGCTATAGTGATCCTGCACATGGAAAGACTATTAATGTAAAAGTTGCCTGGGTTTTGCAAGAATCTCCAGCAGTCCTGATTCCGTTGACGCTTCTGCTGTTCACAGACAGTGTCCAGACAAAAACTACAGTTAACATTATCCTGTGTGGCCTCTTCATTCTTCATTATATGCAAAGGTATTCAATTGTTTTGGTTAAAATATGCTTAGTATAAACCAAAATGACATTAAGCCAGAACTGCAATAACCAAAATTGTAATAACTGAATTACTTTTCTACCAACAATATCAATCGACCTAAATATAATTTGCTATTTTACCATGTGTTTGGGCTTAAAGTAAGAACCTGCAGCTGCTTTAGCGTTGTCTTTCTGGGGCGTAGTTGGGGAAGGTCTTACCCAGGTGCGTCCCCCCCCTTTTGGAAAGTTAAAAAAAGAGAGAAAGAAAAAGAAAAAAATGATTGACCAAAATGCCTCAGAGGTTGTTTTAGGGCTTCTAGAAAACAGAAATTTTGCAGGAGCTTGGCCTCCGACCCCCTAGGGTGGTGTTATCTTGATCGGTCCCCTCTTTTGGACATCTGTGGATCCGCCCTGATTTCCATTGCTTTATTGCCATTATGGAACTCTCCGCTGAGCCCTGCCCTCTTGCATATAGCTGCTAAAGTCCTACATAACGACAATGTTAAAAAAATACACAAACATGTGCGTTTGTAGTACAACTTGTTAGGCATGCATGTATTCCAGGCCCAGGATTTATCAATCTCAGCTTAGATGTCTTAAGTCAAAAAAGTTCAGATGTCCCTAATAAATATCTTAAGCAAAATCTTGGCTTAAAAATCATCTTAGATGGCGCCAACGTACAATGTAAAAAAGTCTATATAAAAGCCGGGAACAGTTAAAAATTAACTGTTCCCTGATAAAAGCATCATGGAAGCTGTTCCAAGCATCATGGTTAACTGTCAAGCATCATGGGGAAAGTCCCAAGTGTCATGGTACCATGATGCTTCAAGGGCCTGGAAAGAACACTGCATATTTTGTTGAGTACATGTTAAACTCATAATGTCAATGTAATTTGTTGTGTGACAAACATGACGATTTGATAAGTTTAATATACTGTAAAACTTTTATTTTTCTGATAGTAAAAGTATTATTAAAAAATAATAATATTCATTTTTCTATTTATATCCACCCTCTAGAACGCTAATCTTCCCGTGTTTGATCCGTGGCGGAAAGGACACACCAAGGTCAATCTTTGTTATTGCCATATTTTTTTGCATCTGTAATGGATATATGCAGGGACGTTACCTTACACAATATGCTGAGTACCCCAGTAATTGGATATCCGATTATAGGTTTTTATTTGGTGAGTAAAATAGTTTTATCTTAAATAGTTAATCACAAAAGAGAAGGAAAGTATTGCTTAAAGGTTTGCATGACGAAGAAATAATATATATGTTGAAGCTTGCGGTACACCACGTAAGTAGTTCTGAAAAGAACTGTTGTAGTTGAGAAAGTCTCGATGTTTCGATTGAGATGCTTCAATCGCCTTCAGGCAGGGACGTAACCAGGGGGGGTAGCCGTGGGAGCCGCAGTGTAAAATTTTTAAAGCTTTTTTTGAGCCAATACAAATTATTTTCTGGGACCACTCAAAATGAATATTTCTAAAATACGTAAAAATGCATCAGTACTTGTTTTACATAGGCCTGGGC